CAAGAGATTCCCAATATCGCCCCAAGGGTGGCCCAACAGGCCCCTCAGAGGGCTCCCATGCAGCCCACGAGCGCCTCGAGGCGGCCGAAGTGGAACCCAAGACGCCCCAAGACGACCCCAAGAGAAACCCGAGATGGCCGGGAGCCGGAGCTAGCATGTCGCGCCCTCCGCCCCAATATGGCCCCTGAGACCGCCGACAGACCCCCGAACAGCCCCCCAGAAGCACCAGGAGGCACGCACGAGGCCCAAAGCAGGCCCCAAGGAGGGCCCCGAGAGGCCCAAGGCCCCCCCCACAAACCGCTTCCCAGAGGCTTCCGAGGGAAGGTCCCTCCGAGAGCCTCGGGGCCGCGCTGGCCACCCAAGGGAGCACCATCGGCGACCCAAGACGAGGCCAGATGCTCGGTCACACACGCGCGCCGAGGCAATGGAGGCATTCGTGTGCTGGCCTCTTCTCGTGTCTCAGTTGTCTCCTCCTCGCTCCACGCTCCTCGCCGTTCTCCCGTCGCTCCTGGCCTCTCTCTCTCCTCGCGCTTGGCTCATCGCCTCGCTCCTCCCACCTCTCTCCTGGCCCTTCCCGCCTTTTACTTGACTCCTGGCGTCCGCTTTCCCCTTCGGCTCTCCCTCATCCCCCGTCGCCTCTCTCTCGTTCTACATATTCTCTTTTCGATCGATGTTCCCCTTATCGCTCCTTGTTCCTTGCTCCTCGATGATTGCTCCTCGCTTCCTCCCCCCAGGTTCACTCACGAACTCCAGGTTGCGTCAGCTGCCAAGGATACCAAGAAACAGAGTTCGCAGAAGCAGCAACATGCCGCAGGCAGCAGCACCCGACAGCTGCAGGCAGCAACAGCAGAGACGAAGCTTGGGTCCAACGTCATTCCGAAACTCTTTCGGCAACGTCTCTGCCCTGGTCCACTTTTCCATCTGGGACAGATTTCGTGGCCGGTAGGCCATGGGTCAGCACTAGTCTCTCCTACAATAGCCGGGTCCGCGCGTGCGGTGCCCAGCGCTGTGGCAGCGAGCCGCCCCCCCCCCGGCCGCTTCGGGGTGGCCGTCGGGGTCGCCTCGGAGCCTCTGGAGCGGCTCCGATCTGGAGCGGCTCCGATCGCGCAGCGGACGCTCCGTGACTGCCGGAGATCCGCTCCAGACGCCCCCAAGACGGCCTCAGGACGGCTCAAGACGCCCCCGAGCTGCCCCGCGAGACCTCCGAGCGGGCCCTTACGACGCAAAAATCGTCCCATCCCCTTCGTCAAACGTACATTTTTGGAGAACTCGCTCTTCTGGCCTGCACGGCGTCCCAGACTGTCCAGGACGCTTCCAAGACCGCCCCAACACAGGGCCACCGGAGGCGCCCAAGAGGGCCTCCAAGTACCCCCAGAGCGCCCCAAGACGGCCCGTGCCCCCCAAGACGGCCCTGGAGGGCCCCAGAGCGGCCCCAGAGCGCCTCAAGAGGCCCCAAAAGAGCCTGACCAGGACCCTCCAAGAGGCTCCAAAGAGAGCCCCAGGATGGCCCAAGATGGCTCTAAGAGGGCCTCCGAGGGCCACTATCGCATACTATAGGCCCGCTCTAAGCGCCAAAGGGGCCTGCGGAGCATTTTTCTAAGGAAAAGTGCTTGTAGATCCTTGTGGGGGCCACTTGACAGGGCACGGTGGCGTTTTTTGTCGTGACGACGACGACGACGACGACGACGACGACGACGACGACGACGACGACGACGACGACGACGACAACGAAGACGGCAACGGCGACGGCGACGGCGACGGCGCGGCTACGGAAATGGGCAAGGGGAGGGGGCCCCAGCGGTTAGGAGCGTTCAGAGCAGTGAGAATAGCGAAGACTGCCCAAGATGGCAGGGGTCGGAGCGGTGCGAATTGCCAAGATGGCCCAAGATGGCTGTAAGAGGGCATCCGAGGGCCACTATATTTTGGCGGGTCTCGGCCCTGCCCTATCATGATAGGGTAGGTTTTCGCACCATTTGGGCCCGCTTTGGGCCATCTCCGCCAGTGGCAGCAAGCACGGGTACACACTAGTCTCTACTACATTGCAGGGGCACGTGCGTGCGGGAAGGGTGAGCAGGCTCAAATGTCTCAAAACCGCCCCGGGCTGGCCCCGGGCCGCCCCGGGCCGCCCAGGCAGGCCCCAGGGCATGTCGAGAGGGCCCCCAGAAGCCCCCAAGACGGCCCCGGAGAGCCCCGGCACGCTTAAAGATGGGCCCAAGACGCCCAAGATTCGCCCCAGGCGGCCCAAGAGGCCTCCCAAGAGAGCCCCGAGCGACAGAAATCGTAGATTTCTGCTGTGTTTTTCGATGTTTTCGGCCTCCTCGCCTCGTCCGCGACGCTCCAAGACGGCCCAAGAAGCCCCCCCGACCGCTCCAAGACGGCCGAAGAGGACCCCAAGGGAGCCCCAAGACGGGCCAGGAGGGCCCCCAGACGGTCCCAAGACGCCCCAGGACGGCCCCCGGACGGCCCAGGAGGCGCCCAAGACGGCCCAAGAGGCACCCAAGACGACCCCAGGAGCGGCCCAAGACGGCCCACGACAGCCCAAGAGGCGCCGAGGCGGGTCTCAGACGGCCCCAAGACGGCCCAAGAGGCACCCAAGACGGCCCGAGAGGGCCCTAAGAGCCCCCCCGGGAGGCCCAAACGAAGGCCGAAGAGGCTCCGAAACGGCCCCCACGAAGCCTTCAGTGCCTTCAGAATTCCCTCCAGGAGCGGGGGAGCGGACGAGAGGCGACACGTGCGCTGGGCGCCTGAGCGGCCCCGTTGCGGAGAAGATCGCAGGGACGGGGACATCACGATGGCGAGCACCCCGCGCCATCACGACGTCGTGGACCGCGACGTCCGCCATTCTTGCGGGGAGTGCGCCCCGCATGTGCAGGCGCCGCATTTTAGTTGCGTTTGCACCTCCTGTCTTCGGTTCCGACCACGCCTCCTATTCCAATCCCCCGAACTTGCTCGCACTCCTGGCCATGCAGCCGCCATCCCTGTTGTCGTCGCCGTCGTCGTCACATCCGTGAGCTGGACGGGGCCTTCTCCGCAAAGGCAGAGGGGGGACGGAACGACGACGACGACGGCCACGACTACGACGAAGGCAATGACGACGACGACGACGACGACGACGACGACGACGACGACGACGACGACGACCACGACCACGACCACGACCACGACCACGACCACGACCACGACCACGACCACGACCACGACCACGACCACGACCACGACCACGGCGGCAGCGTCGGCGGCGGCGACGGCGACGACGCCAGCAGCGACGCCGACGGCGACGGCGACGGCGACGGCAAATGCGACGTCGACGGCGCCGCCACGGGAGGGCCCCGACGAGGGCTCCGTACTTTCCCGGGCCCCCGAAGCAGACCGTCACGCAGACAGGCGCGCTTCGACGGAACCCCGCGGTTGTCTGCGTCGGGCCTCATCGGGGGGGGGGGGCGGAGGAGATCTAATCAGGCGGACTCGTGGGGTTTGCTTTCTGGGAGGCTAGGGCTCTGTTGAGGCTTCATTGGGGGCCTCTTGGGGCCTTTCTGGTTGGGGGCATCAATCTCGGGGGAGGCGGAGATCCAGTTAGGTGGGCCTGGGGGGGTTGTCCTGGGGGCCCTTGTGAGCTCTTCGGGGTGGTGACTGGATCTCGGGGAGGGCGGAGGTCCAATGAAGCGGGCCTCCAGAGGCTCCTTCGGGGGCTCTTGGAGCTGTCTCGGGCCCGTTTCGGGGTCCCTTGGGGGCGTCTTGGCGCCATCCCTCCGAGAACCATTCCAGAATGTCGTGGACGGAGTCCACGGGTCAGCCCTAGTCTCTACTACATTGCAGGGCCCAGTGCGTGCCAGAAGGGCGCAGGCCCCAATGCACCGAAACCCCCCCGGGCTGGCCCCGGGCCGCCCCGGGCCGCCCAGGCAGGCTCCAGGACATGTCGACAGGGCCCCCAGAAGCCCCCAAGACGGCCCCGGAGAGCCCCGGCACGCTTAAAGATGGGTCCAAGACGCCCGAGATTCGCCCCAGACGGCCCAAGAGGCGTCCAAGACGCCCGAAGAGGCCTCCCAAGAGGCCTCCCAAGAGGGTCCCGAGCGACAGAAATCGTCGATTTCTATTGTGTTTTTCGATGTTTTCGGCCTCCTCGCCTCTTCGGCTTCCCGACGCTCCAAGACGGCCCAAGAAGTCCCCCCGACCGCTCCAAGACGGCCGAAGAGGACCCCAAGAGAGCCCCAAGACGGGCCAGGAGGGCCCGAAGACGGTCCCAAGACGCCCCAGGACGGCCCCAGGACGGCCCAGGAGGCGCCCCAGACGGCCCAAGAGGCACCCAAGACGGCCCCAGGAGCGGCCCAAGACGGCCCAAGACAGCCCAAGAGGCGCCGAGGCGGGCCTCAGACGGCCCCAAGACGGCCCAAGAGGCACCCAAGACGGCCCGAAAGGGCCCTAAGAGCCTTCCCCGGGAGGCCCAAAAGAAGGCCGAAGAGGCTCCGAAACGGCCCCCACGAAGCCTTCAGTGGCTTCAGAATTCCCTCCAGGAGCGGGGGAGCGGACGAGAGGCGACAGGCATATCGCACGCAAAAACGCCCCAAGAGATCCCCAAACGGCCCCCGCGAAGCCCTAAGTGGCCTCAGAATTGCTTCTAGGAGGGGGGAGCGGACGAGAGGCGACCGGCATATCGAAGACACACAAGAACAATGTTGGACGCTCCGAGGGCCTTCGATGTTTCTCTGTTGGGGAGAGTCGTCGTAGGATCGACGATTGCCGACCGAGGGCATGGAGAATCCAGCGAAAGAGGAGAAGAAGGTGGAAGAGGAGGAGGAGGAGGAGGAGGAGGAGGAGGAGGAGAAGGCACCCTTACGACAAGCGGGGCCTGGCGCTGCACTGCGAGATGTGGAAAGCCAAGCTGGAGCCCGACGCCATCATGATTGCCTTTCGGCCCTGCAGCCGCACCCCCCCGCGCTTGCCCAGAGACCCCTCGCCACGTCGAGTTGATGTCGTGGACGGAGTCCACAGGTCTGCCCTAGTCAGCTACAACGCTGGGATCAGCGCGTGCGGGAAGGGCGAGCAGTGGCAGCAGGCTCTTGCGCTGCTCAGCGAGATGCGGCAGGCGAAGCTGGAGCTCGACACGATCAGCTACAACTCTGTGATCAGCGCGTGCGAGAAGGGCAAGCTGTGGCAGCGGGCTCTGGGGCTGCTCAGCGAGATGCGGGAGGTGAAGTTGGAGCCCAACGTCATCAGCTACAGCGCTGGGATTAGCGCTTGCAAGACTGGCGAGCAGTGGCAGCGTGCTCTGGCGCTGCTCAGCGACGTGCGGGATGCGAAGCTGGAGGGCAGCGTCATCATGTACAGCGCTGCGATCAGCGCGTGCGATAAGATCGCGCAGTGGCAGCGGGCGTTGGCTCTACTCAGCGAGATGCGGGAAGCGAAGCTGGAGCCCGACGTCGTCTCTCCTACAATGGCCGGACCGGCGCTCGCGGAGCTGCCGATCAGTGGCAGCGGGCCAGCCCTCTCCGACGGCCCCTGCGAGCCCCAGAAGGCCTCGGCGCGCTTCCATGATGACCTAAGAGCGTCCCGAGACGCACGGGGAGGCCCCCCAGAGGGCCCCCAGACGGCCGAAGACGGTCCAAGAGGCTGCCCCAACGCTCCAAGTGGGCTCCGCGAGGAGCCCCAAGAGAGCCCGATCACTAAACATCGCCCCCTTTTCCGCGGGACAGCGTGCATTTTGGCAGATCCCGGGCTTACCCGCTTCATAGCGTCCAAGACAACCATACAGGGGCCAAAGATGGCCCCAGGACGGCTCCCGAGGCGCCCCTGGCGGCCCACGGGGTACTTAAGGCAGCTTCGAAAGCGGCCCAGGACGGCCCAAACACGACCCCCAGACGGTGCCCAGACTGCTCCAGAGACGCCAAAGACGGCCCTGGGCAACCCCCAGACGGCCCAGACAACGCCTCACACGGCCTCCAGACGGTCCAAGAGGTTTCCAAAACGCCTCAAGTGAGCTCCACGACGAGCCCCAAGAGAGCCCGAACACAGAAAAAAACTCGTTCATTCCCATGGGAAATAATACATTTTGGCAGTTCCCGGGCTTGCCCGCTTCATAGCGTCCCAGACGACTATACAGGCGCCCAAGATCGCCCCAGGACGGCTCCCGAGGCGCCCCTGGCGGCCCACGGGGCACCCAAGACAGCCTCGAGAGCGGCCCAGGACTGCCCAAACACGGCCCCCAGAGGGTGCCCAGACTGCTCTAGAGACGCCCAAGGCGGGCCCAGGCAACCCCAGACGGCCCCGACAACGCCTCACACGGCCCAAGGGGCACCCGAGACAGCCCCAGAGGGCTCCAGGAGACTTCCAGGAGGCCTCCAAAAAAGAGCTGAGAGGCTCCTAAACGACTCCCAGGAGCCCCAAGATCACGGCCCAAGAAGCACCGAAGACGGCACCGACAGCCCAAGACGGCCTAAGACGGCCACAGACGGTCCCAAAACGGCTCCCAGCGCACCATGATGTTCTGATGCTTGCACGGCGAGCCCAGCGGGGTCTGGCCCAAAATCCCTCGCCCTTTTGGCCGGCCTGGAGCCTTCTCCGCGGCCTATTCAGGCCATGCAGTTTTTCCCTCTTCTGGTGGCACAGAGTCGCCTCGCCTCGGGGGATCTCACAGCTTCAAAAGGTTTCTGAAACAGGCCCCATAGGTCTCTTGGCGCGTCTCGGCCTTGCCCTATCATGACAGGGCAGGTGTTCGACGCTATTCTGGTCCATTTTGGGCGATCATTTCGGGCCACCTTTTGGGTTTCATTGGGTATTTTGGCGGGTCTCGGCCCTGCCCTATCATAATAGGGGAGGTTTTCGACGATATTTAGACCCCTCTTTGGGCCATCACCGCCAGCGGCAGCAAGCAAGAGTACACACTAGTCATCTACAGCGCTGGGATTAGCGCGTGCGAGAAGGCCGCGCAGTGGCAGCGGGCTCTGGCGCTGCTCAGCGAGATGCGGGAGGCGAAGGTTCAGCCCAACGTTATCTCTTCTACAATGCAGCGATCTTTGCGTGCCAGAAGGTCCTCTGTCTTGAAAGGTCCACCGGGCTCTCCAGGCCGCCCTGCGAGCCCCTGGGCCGCTCCGAGACGGCTCAGAGACGCCCACGAGGGCGCCCAGACAGACCAAGAGGGGCGCAACCGAGCCCCAGGCCGGCCCCAGAGGCATCCAAGGCAGGCCAGGAGGCTCCCAATGCGGCCCAGGAGGACCCCCAGGAGGGACCCAAGAGGCAAAATTTGGCCCATGACCTTCGGAAAACGTGCATTTGTGGTATGCTCGCCGTGTTCGTCTTCACGCGTCCAAGAGGGCTCTTCAGGCCTTCCCGATCGCCCCAAGGCGCCCCCAGAGCACCCCAGGAGGGCCCCCAAACGGCCCGAGGCGGCCCCGTGACGGCTCCAGAGACGCCCTTGACGGCCCCAGAGGCAACCAAGACAGCCCCAAGAGCTTTCAAAAACGGCCCAAGACGGCCACAAGATGGCCCCAGAGGCGCCCAAGACGGCCCCAGATCGCTCCAAGGCGGCCTAAGATGCACCCAAGACGGCCCAAGAGGCCCGAGAGACCCCAGGAGGACGAAAAGAGGCTTCCAAACGGACCCCATGAGGCCTTGAATGCTTGTCTCTTGGGGAGCGTCGACTACTGACGAGAAGATCGACGGGATGAAGGATCGAGAGGAGGAGGAGGAGGAGGAGGAGGAGGAGGAGGAGGAGGAGGAGGAGGAGGAGGAGGACACCCAAAATTGCCCCCAACGCCGATAGAAGTCACCGAGATGTCCCGAGCATGACCCGAAGGAGGCCTCAAGACGGTCCAGACACACCGAGATGGCTCCTAAAGAAGATCGACTGGATGACCGATCCAGGGGAGGACGAGGAGGGCGGCCAAAATGGCCCAAAAGCCGATACCAGGAGCCACAGAGATGTCCCGAGCATGCCCCGAAGCCGAAGAGGCCCCAAGAGTGTCCAGACAACCCGAGAAGGCTCCTAACTCGCAGCCCAAGTAAACCAAAGTGACAGTTACTCGACAGTTTCTCCAGCGTCCTATCGGTGATCCTCCCGTGCACTGGGCGCCTGAGCGGCCCCAGTGCGGGCCGTCTCGGCGCCCTCTTGCGGGCCTCTTGGGTCGTATATCACGCGGCCCCAGCTTAGAGCAGATACAATTATCACGGCCACCCGCCCCGCAAAAGCTATGATGAACACAGAGCGCGGCGTGAGAAACAGCTTCTGTCCACACCACGTTGTGCCGACATGCGTTCCTGCCTTCAGGCCTGCTTGCCTGCATCCCTCGCCCAGCTCCCCCTTCAGTGGCTACTTCCTCCATCCACACCGTCCCCTCCAACCTCCCCCCCGCGAGGCCCTGGAGACGCTCCATTTCTACGTCCACACCATGGCGGGCAGACTCCACGGCCAGAAGGCCGCGGGTCAGCCCTAGTCTCTCCTACATGGCCAGTGGATCTGCGTGCGAGAAGGGTTCACAGAGCCTCGTGTGCACAAAATCGCCCCTTTACGCCACCACGGGGCCGAATCGCTCAGGCCGGTCCCAGAGGCGCTCCAGAGGGGTCCCAGACCGTCCAAGAGCGCTCCAAGACGGCCTCAGTGGGTCCCGAGACGGCCCACGAGGGCCCAAAGCCTTCCGGGAGGGGCTCCACGACGATCCAAGAGGCAGCAGAAACGCCCCAAGAGGGCCCCGAGCGCACGCCAAAGAAGCACAAATCGTCAAATTACGATGGGAAAGCGTATATTTTCAGCATGCCCGCCTTGTGTGCTCCTCAGCGTCCCAGGACACGCCAAGAGGCCTCCAACATCGCCCAAAGAAGACGCCTGCGGCCCCTAAGAGGGCGCCAAGACGGCCCACAAGAGCCCCAAGACGACGCCAGAGAGCCTTGAAACTGCCTCACAGAACCCCACGACGGCCCCAAGAGAGCTCCGGGGGGCCCCAAGTGGCTCCCACGACGGCCTCAGGCAGCCTCAAGAGAGCTCCAAGACGGTCCAAGGCCTCCCGGACGCCCCGTGACGGCCCCAAAAGGCCCTAAAACGTCCCAAACCGTTCCCAGAGCAGCCCCAAAAAAATTCAGAATGGCCCGAGAAAGACCCCCACACGGACCACCAAGCAGGCCCAGAGACGCCCACTAGAAGAACAATCGGTGAAGTACAAAGCTCTTCTCACCAAGGCTCGCCAAAGAGCGAGACGCAGCGTAGAGAGCTCTCCCAGGCACAGCTCCCAAGAGCGAACGGTTTCGTCGGGGCACCCTTCCGACCTCTCACACAGGAGCACGCACGCACAGCACGCAAGCACCATCGATTTCCTGGGCTGTCCCCCCGGAAGAGGCTCGGGGGGACAGCCCGGGAACGGCCACAGAGGCACCCAAAACACCTTCGAGAGAAAAGGCCCCCAGGAGGCCGCAAGACGGCCCAAGAGGGCCCCAAGAGGCCCCTACGAGGCCGCAAGACAGCCAACGAGGCCCCAACAGGCCCCCAGGAGCTCGAAAAGAAACCCCCGAGAGGCCAACTAACCAATCCCAAGGAGACGGTAGCGCCCGCCATCAGGCTTCGAAGAAGCATCCGGAAAAAAGTCACCAGAGCCCTCCGGGTGACTTTTTTCAAGGCCCCAGGTGCTTTCAAAATTGACAAGCGGCGAGACGTACACCGCAGACCCACCATCGCCGTCTGTGACGTTCCGAAGGCTGTCTAGGCGGAGGTAGAGCGGAAGGCGGACGAAGAGAAGGAATCGGTCCAGGAGGGCCTCCGAGACGGCCCAAGACCGCTCGAAGACGCTCCAGCCGAGCCGCGGCAAATGAAATCATTGATTCTTGTATGGCTTCTAATAGGTTTCCACCTTCTCGCCACTTCGAGCGAAGACAAGCCCCTAGTCGAGCCAAGACTGGCCCAAGATGACGTGACGAAGTCCACGGGTTCGCCCTAGTCTCTACTACATTGCAGGGCCCAGTGCGTGCCAGAAGGGCGCAGGCCCCAATGCACCGAAACCGCCCCGGGCTGGCCCCGGGCCTCCCCGGGCCGCCCAGGCAGGCCCCAGGGCATGTCGAGAGGGCCCCCACATTCCCCCAAGACGGCCCCGGAGAGCCCCGGCACGCTTAAAGATGGGCCCAAGACGCCCGAGATCCGCCCCAGGCGGCCCAAGAGGCGTCCAAGACGCCCGAAGAGGCCTCCCAAGAGGCCTCACAAGAGGGCCCCGAGCGACAGAAATCGTTGATTTCTACTGTGTTTTTCTATGTTTTCGGCCTCCTCGCCTCGTCGGCTTCCCGACGCGCCAAGACGGCCCAAGAAGCCCCCCCGTCCGCTCCAAGACGGCCGAAGAGGACCCCAAGAGAGCCCCAAGACGGGCCAGGAGGGCCCCCAGACGGTCCCAAGACGCCCCAGGACGGCCCCCGGACGGCCCAGGAGGAGCCCAAGACGGCCCA